CTGCAGATCTGTTGATGAGATGCGATATTGCATTACGCGAGTTGAGAGAGAGAGAGAGATAGGATATGCAGAGATGAATCATCTGGAGTTCTGAGAATGCTTGTTAAGTAGGAAAACACCAAGAAGAGGATTCGTTATTGGGTTGATCAAACTGAACCAAAAGGACTCCACACGGTTTGCGTAACATTCTCTCCTCGCTCCAAGAGATCAGCGCCTGGGAAGAATTCGAAACCAAAATTTGTGCACCAAACCATCCGCATAGTATCAGTGTGGGGTTGGAAGAACGTCATCACTACTGAATAGTTGGAGGTCTCAGTTTCATCGACCAGAAGATCAAGATTTCAAATCTCACGACCATCCTCAATGGCGCCTGCATCCCAACCATTACCAGAAATTTGATTTAAAATAAATTGTATTCAATAATGAAAATATTTTATCAGGCGTTTGGCGGCACTGCATGCACATAGATCAGTAATAAAATACCGGCGTACAAATCCGCTTTTAATCGACGGAGACATCTGCAATTACGAGTAAACCATCACACATCTATTGATTTTCTGTTTATTCAAAGTTCTACTTTGACCTTTTCGATACACGTTATACTAGGCGTATATTGTTTTACAGCATCGATTTTTGCAAGCCTTTCGGACGACATGTTCTAATATCATTCGGGATAACCGTTTAGCCGATTAGACAAATTTCCCTTATATTTAACACATAAAACAAGAAACAAATTGCTATCGGAACTGAAAGTGATCATCCATTCCCATTGTAAGCCAGATTTTTTAACCATTCAGATTTGGAGAGCTTCCAGATTCTTATAACTAACTAAACTGAGAATCTTTCCCCTAATTTCTAGGTCCATTAATCCTTTAGTTTGACCCAGTGGTATACGCCGTTTTTTTCCTAATTGACTTGATCGTAAGCAAACACATTACATGGGAACGCTTTTCTAAACAATTGTTGTCCGACCCCGTGCACATAGAGCTCCTTCATGCAGTTACCACTGACAACACCCGTTTCCCAGTTCCTTCTCGATCATCAACTTACAGGAACGGACATTATTACTGACCTTGTATGCATTGGGGTAACTTATTTACCCGTTGCCAATAAGTCACAGAAACGTCCATCACAATCACCTGGGACACTGTGTACATTATACTACTCTGAACAAGAGTTCAGTGATTCATTCTTTCAAATATCCGCTGAGCAGTATTGTGTTCATTTTGTGGGAGTCGGGACGGTAACTGGAGGAACGCTGCAGGCAGCTATGTCCGATAGTGATTGCCACAAAAAACAAATTGGGACAGGCAGACAGGCGGGTAAGCAAACAGGCAGGCAGCCAAACAACAAGGTGAAATGAAAAATAGCATCATATGTACTCGGAGGTGCAGTCAATCTTCAAACTCGAGGGTAAAGTCCTTTGACCTTGACAGCGTCAGTACACGGGAAAACCTAAATACTGTATACGATAGACTAAAAGGAGTAGTGTATCGCACACATTACCTAAAAAAGTTGCTATATCGATCAGTACTTTAGGGCACATTTCTCATGATACTAGGGCCAGTGGTCAGATGTTTGATGGTTACATGATGCAAAATCTATGTTCTCACATTAGTTCTTATGCGTACTGGATCCCGTACGGGCTCAGTGATCATGAGTACCTGTGAACAGCCAGCATCGAAACATGATAGCAACAAGACAATAGTTCGTGATAATCTCCTAATAACCAAGAAGAAACGCATTATAAAAAGATCAAAGGGATTGTAATGTACAGGTATTGACCAAACATCCTGATTTTTATCGCATTCGTTCCTCTCAAGGCTTCATTCTTCCAGCCTCATTCACGGGATTGAATATGATATTGCCCCACATCAGATGCAACATNGCAACATGTCTGATATAATATCCACTTGTATCACTGCTTCTATAAGCCACATGCCATTAAATTGTACAATTTTGCGATTTCAACGATTTTTGCAACTGCATCAGTTGAAAGATAACAAGGTCACAGTAGAAAACCTAACTGTAATTTATTTATTAAAATGACTCATAGACTTTATACAGGTATGCACTTTCATCTCGTCCATGTTCTTTTTGCCCTTCTTCAATGTTGAGCACTGGGGGAAATCGCATTAGGATGGAATCCACCAAGTTAATTGTCAAACAGAATTTGCAAGTTTCCTCTAATACACCGCACACCTTTACCACTGGCGATCAACGGCAAGTTAGCTGACTTATCCCTGTTTCTGATAGAGGGAAAAGTTTCCGATTAAATTAAAATCCTAGCTGCTNGCGCGTTAATAGAACGAATTTGACATTGAAATCGACCCCTCTAGAAACTGCATAAATGTGAATGCGACACTCAAGGTCGCGCATATTCAAATGGTGATAGAAATGAACTGAGAACATAGATGTTGGAGATAAAGTCAGGAATAAATACACTGTACTCATAACCATCTATATATAAGTATGCTATTGCAAGCTGAAATGGATTTTCAAAATGAGGATGATGTTGCACGAGTTTGGTCAACATCTGTATACCTAGCTCGGCTCGATAGCTCTCCTTTGATATGTACACTGCCAAATGGAGGTGGGAAACGGTTTAGAGTGAAGAAACATTTTAGATATTTGTCGGGAGCTGGGTTCCAGAACATATCACGGGGATGTCTGGGTGCCACCTTATTTTCGTTCGTTTGTTGCTCTTCAGATCAATGATGTCTCTCTCTCTCTCTCTCGCAACTCAGTCGTTTGTAAGTGTGCTGATGAAGTAACAACTGAGTATTTGTGGTGATCGTGCAACGAGTGCGTACGCACCACGTGACAACTTCCCGGTAGCCAATCAATAAACAGATTTCCCGCTTAATCCTGAGATCTCAATTGGCACCAATCGGACAGAATTCACTGTATCCACAGTTCGTTTCGGTTCCGTCTGACTTTGCTCTATTCAGTCGTTTTTCAGTCCGAATCCGAGTTCGCGCTATTTTATTCCGATTCCTAATCCAGTGACTACAGTATCCCCTCAACAGGGCTTGTGCATTCCTCAGGCCCTCATGTGGCATGCGTGAGCGTTCGTTTTGGCCTCACAACATGCTGCCATTATAAAAAGCACAAACAAACAGCATTCAGGAACAACCCGAGTGCTGATTGGTTGAACAAATGGTGATACCAAAACCGCTACTACTACAACTACAAAGGTTCGTTTTAAACCTGGTCAAATCTAATCACACAGTGAACTGAACTGTGACTGATGCATTTCACTCACCAATTCAGGTCGGCTGAGAACCACATCCTGACTATGGCCGAAGCGGTTGGAATTCAATTTCAGTTTGTACAACCATGGAAAGTGGTGTTCGACAGGGTCGCCCTCTCTCTCTCTAGCTCTATTTGACTTCGTGGTAGATTTAATTCTTAAAACAGCCCTATCCTTGTGCGAGGATAGAGGCATCGATTTACTGCCTCACCAGCAGACTAGGTTCCGCGACTGGGGACCCCGAGAAGATGGTTAGAGACACTGAGAGATATCACTGGGTGTCGCCCGTGCATCCACTCACTATTCTCCTAACACCATTCCGTCTTCCGCTTGAATTTGCTTTCAGCATTCCAATCTTCATCTTGCTTTTTTATTCAAGTGGGCGGCCAAAAGACAACAACCAAAACCAGCGCACCAAAGTGCATGGTTAATGGTTGTAAAAACTGAAATGAACTAAACCATTAGCCATGCACTTTCGTGCGCCGGTTTTGGTTGCCCATTTGGATGAGGCAGTAGTAGAAAGATAGGAAAGTTGAAAGTAGAGTCGAGGAGAAAACGGAGAATTCCGCTGGACTAAGGTTGCAAAGAAATTGGTAAAATGCACGAAGGCCACTGTTTACGACCCCAAGTTATACCACTCAGTGAGTCTAACCACCGGCTACGACCATCCTGAGGTACCCAACCAGGGAGCCTAACGGGACCTGTGTGACCTAATCTCTTGGTTGCAGTTTACATCCTCTCTTACCAGGTCTTAGCTTGACCGCCCTTGGCTTTATTCCGCCCACTACCTGCTTCAGCAAACATCGCACACCGTAGCAACCTATTTAGTAACATACGCAACACATGCCCCAATGGAGTTCGACTACTTGCTTCAGTGGGCAACCGCGGTTACCCAAAACTCTGCCCCTAACCTCACATTGCTCGTCCGGCTGCCCCACCAGATTCATGCAATGCTTCGTAGACAGTGGTATTCAAACACCGACAGTCTATCTTTATCCTGTTTTCTTAATAGCCAATTTTCTGCTCCGTATAGCAGAACTGGCCGAACTACCGCGGCATACACTCGACCCTTCACAGACAGCCGGATGTCGCGACGGCGCCACAGATGTCTCAAGCTGGTAAATGCTAATCGGGCCTTCTGTATGTGAGCNATTCGTGATGTGTCCGCCAGGTGAGATATAGCTGCCCAAATAACAAAACTTACCCACTTGCTCTACTACTTCCTCAGTTACAAAAAGATTGGGCGTTGGACCAACCCAGTCTTGAAGTAACATTTCATACTTTGAAAATGCAAAACGCATACCAAACATAGATACACTAGCACACAAACTACCCAGAAAAGCTTCCAACTTACCTGGATCGTCAATCAGTAACACAGTATCGTCTTCACACTCCAGATTGGAATTCGCTTGCCACCCCAGCCCCACTGCCCTTCTTGTGGTGCATCTACAAACAGTTTAGGAAATCACTCAGTATCTCATGATCTTTTACAGTGGTAACGGACAAAAAAAATCTCCCAACTCCTTTCATGCGAATAACAAAAAAAAACAATACGCTTCGTCCAAAGCAAAAATATAAACTATTTGGATCAGGAATCAAAAACGGAGTGCCCCCTACCAGCGGCGGACGGACGGACGGACGGAGGGGGGGGGGGGACAGAAAGAATGTGGGTAAGCGTTTGCAAACAGGCACGGAAGAGGAGTCTGTACACATGTGTATATAAATTTACACACAAAAAAAAGCAGATCTACGGTCCGTTCAGCTCCGAGTGCTTTTTCTCCCACATCGAGGTGGCCAGGGCGTGATGCTGTTTGATCGTAGCACGCAAATATTCTCGAGCTGTGAACAGATTATCCTCACTGTGATGCCGTTTGCCTTGTGGAGTGTTCGGAATCAGTTTATCATGTGCCTGGTAGATTCGATCCATTTCCCTCTTGACTTGATTAAGCATTTCTTGGCCTGCGAGCGGTGGGGGGAGGGGTGAGAGTGTAAACAAGAGCATACATGTGTGTCAGTTCACGACTCCGGTGAGAGGTAACAAATGGATTGGGATAGGTCTATTTCGAGTAGTTAGTAGCGGTTGGGTGTACAAACCTGAGCCCAACACAAAACACATCGATGTGGTTCTGAGTAGTAACAAATGTAAAAGCGTCTAAACCATCGAGCACGCGGCTATGCACTTTTCACACATGCGGACCATGGGATTATCTTGAAACTGGCTAGCTTTCTGACTACAGTTCGCTTTCCTCATAGAAAAAACTTGCTTCAGTAAACTGAAAAATACTGTTTTCCCCTCACAAATTTGAACAGATAGGTTAGAAACATGTTTGCACAATGTATCCTCGTGGTCATTTCTTTTCATCTGTACACGCTCATACTAGACTGCACTATGCGCGTGTACCGATGAAGCGAAAAGACCATGAGGATACACTGTGCAAACCCATGTTTCTGACTTTTCTATTCCAATTTCCTTGGATAAACGAGGTGTGATAGGTATTCCATTGAAATCCGTCGGCACCAGTCCAGATTCAACCTAGCCGATCAACACAATGGTAATTTCAAATCCAGCATGTGGTTCTTCAAATCAGGTGCAGTCGGCTCCCTCCCCTCCATCAAGCTGTCATCGCAAGGCAAATAATATAGAGGGAAAACAATACGCGACTAGTGACAGTCAGACCGCGATCAAATGTGCTCAGCTGAAAAGTGAAATGGGATAAAACGTTGACATTGTTGTTACAACAGTTCCAGTTCAGTGTGAGCAACCACATAAACCGTGCGCTTCCTTGCCGTGGTTGTGGTTACTGTTTTTTGGCTATCTATTTGAATGAAGAGATAGAAGGAATAGTAGAATATTGGAAGCAGTGTCTACGATCAAAATAGCGAATTCATATGGGCTAGGGTTGCAGATACAATGAGTAGATGCAAGAGCTCCACTGTTCACGATACTCGACCACATCTGCATCTAGGAAGCCGAACGAGAGCAAGTTTTCTGGTCAGAGTTTTCATGCCGAATGCCAGGCCTTAGTTTAATCGCCCTGTCAACATCCTCGAAAACATCTCGTTTTCGTAACGGTCAAGTTTCTACATCGTATAGCCCCGCTGCTTGATCTGCTGCAGCATATATGCGCGTCCCTTCACAGACGGCGGAATGTCACGACAGCGGTGCTAGAGATGTCTCAAGTTTCAGAAGAGAAATTTGTCGTGTATATACAGCAAATGAAGCGTAGACTGAAAATCTAGGAAGCACTGGACAGCTGTTTCGAACTGGTTCAGTCTCTCGCTCTCTCAAGTTGGCAGTCGAGTCTTCGCTTTACCTGTCGAAGTTACAAAGTCAGCAAACCGGTAACGCACAATTCATATTCAGTTAGATTTCATGGTATCACATCCAGATGCATCGCGTGGGCAGCAAAGACTCCGGAATCGGTACTCTTCAACCGGTGCGCATCAGTCAGCCAGTCGAAATAGGATTCGATTAGAGTACATTAACATTTGACCTCACCTCATCGTGGCATTGAGTCAATGGCGGGCCCATTTCTTGGTATCGCCAAAGAAAGACAATCAAATGAAAATGTGTGTACCGTAAATAAACCCTGTGTGATCAATATCCGCATTTTGCCTCCTCTGCTCCGCCCGACTGCAAATGGGTTTGAATAAAAATCCTGCAAACAAGACTCGAAAAATCTACTACAAAAAACTGGTTCGGCGAATTCGAACCTTTCAAGGACACATTTCAAATAAATGGTTACCCAGGACGTATGTGAGCAAGCTTCCCAGTGAGTTTTCATATCTAATGCCTCGGAATAGTGAATCAAAGTTGTGAAACTTTACCCTTATGAATGAGCTCATCTCGAGCCTCTCGAGTAACCACGGTACGCAACCGGACAGTGAATGCAGTCTGGCCGGCCGCATGGACCAAGGACGAGGCAGAACCATGATTTGCGGACTCGAGGAATTGGATGACCGCTTTCCGAGCCGCGCCAATCAGATCCGGGCGAGCGGTTAAATCGACCAATAATTGCGGATTGATGCTAGCACTGTGTTGTTCATTCTGAGCGATTAGATTCGCTACCTGGCCAAGTTTGGCATGCGCTTCGGGAATCTATCGGTTTCCGAATGAGGAGAGCGGGGAGGGGGTGGCGGAGGATGGGAGTAAGAAGTAAAACCAGACAGAGGACGGACTAAGGATGGATACCAGCGGAAAAGTTTCGGATATACAGATAGAATACTGATCAGATTACACTGTAAACAGACTTGGAGGAACGTTTACATTTCCCCGCACGGAGGATTTGAAATTAGATACGTATAAGACTTGATCAACCGCTTCGATCTTTACGCATTAGGATAACAATACAACTGAGAGACATATGGATACCCTGGCTAGAATAATTCGCAACATCCTGAGCACTCGAGATCATGTTCATGAGTGAAACGGTGTGAGATAGTTCTGCTTACCCGGAGGGCTGGCACACAGAATTCAAATTACCAGACTTCGCTGGTTAAGGC